TTTTTCAGTATTAAAATAATGTTTATTTAGTGAAAGTCATGCTTCATGTGTGACATCCTTTATCCTGTAACATACACATAACATATCAAATAATTGGATAACTTCAAATATAATAAATAAACTCAAAATTCATATAGGTACAAAGTATCACATTTTAACATAAACTAGACTTAGTGAAAATAAAAAATTATAACAAAAATAAAAATTAAACTACTCAAATTAAATAACATGAATCAAATTTTAACTAGTCCAAACTAATTCCTCGATGTAATATGTCCTATTAGAGCAAAATCTAACATTGAGGTCTAACATCCTCAACACCATGTTGATCCACAGGAAAACAATATAAAAGAAAAAGAGAGTGAGAAACATCTCACTTTGACTCACGGTATAGGAATGTAAACTGGTTAGCCAAACAAAATAACACATATAATAAGAAATAACATATGCAATTACATATCATCATGTTTAACTCATTCATAACATAATAAGCAACAATATATAAGATCATAATACATATGCAATGGACATGGTTTATATGTTATCATGCATATGACGTCAATAAAACATCACACTCATACATTGTTGCTAGCAAGACACTAGAGTGGTCTAAGAGTACATACCGGATCACATCCTTTGCATACTCACTAGAAGAATACATACTACTAAGATCTCATTGGGATAGCTAAGTCGTGAAAGATACATCTCATGCTCATAGGGCAAGATTGAGACTTCCGAATCAAGTCATCTCTAAGGTTGGTTCCCAAGCTTTTACACAAGGGATCTTTCCTGATGGTGTATTCCATATCATACCCTTTTGAAAACATTTTTATGCATATACATGATGCATGTCAATCAAACCCAATGTATTACATTCACATGACCTCATAATTTCACATTTAACATTCTCCTAATATCACATTACTCCTCATACATAGTCATATGTCATATATCAAAGTCAATTCATATCACATTAACATCACATTACAAGAGTTATAATATACGGTCAAATAATAGAACAATATACGAATTACAGGAAGGATGATGTCTAGCGGCACACACCCCATGCTTGGCATGAATCCTCTAAAGGACTACTCTGGTCTCTACTTGGATTGCATCCAACGTGATTGAGTCCATGCCCAACGAGAATACCACCGAGAGCTCTTTGGAGTGTCCATGCCCAACGAGAGTCAACTCACGCTTGATAGAAGCGTCATAGGGAAGCCCTAGAGCTTTTGTGCCCGACAAGGGTCATCCAACACCTGGTATGAGAGACCTCGAGAGCAAACTTTGCTCTAGGCCTTGACGACGCTTGATGCACCCCAAGTAGCACTTGGTGACGTATCATAATTAAACAACATGCAACAAAAACATAGAATTTGTGAGTCACACCTCAAATCACCAAAACATACAATTCAATTGGTAAAAGTGTTCTATAGCAAGCAATTAACATTCCATATCATTCAATTTACATATATAACCAATACATTTTCTCAAAAGCGCATCAAGTTCCCGTAGGATTTCCCATGGAAAACCCACAGGGATCTCAATTATACAACTATCACCCAAAACATAAAATTAAGCATACATTCAAATAATTCATGTCATCAATTATGAGTGAGAAGAATAAAGATAAAAACATAAATATTAGGGGAAACCCATCATACATAGGAACACAACATACACATGATTGTGAGTCAATTCCACTATCCGACATACAAACTCACACCCAAAGCGAGGTTTCTCAATCCCCTTGGATAATTAAGCTCTAGGCGATAGGTGCACGACTTCAAGGTGATTTCCTTTTTGCTCTTGTTCTTTGAGCTTTGAAACGTGTTGGTGAAAATAGAGGTGTAAAAAAAAGGTTGATAAGAAAACTCGTCTTTAAAAAAAAACTATAGTCAAAGCATATTAACCACAATTATAAATCCCATCCCTTTTTAATAAAATATTACACTATTATTTAATAAAATATCATATAATATATTATAAAATATATTAAATAATTAAAACAAATATTAACAAACTTTGCTAATAAAATAAAAATATCAAAATTATTAATAAAATACTTATATTATCTTTTTATGAAAAATGGAGTGTTACATCATAAGTGTATATTAGTTTTTAGTTTTCAATTTTAAGACACTACATAGATCATATTTATGGAGTAAAAAAGAAAAATCTAGTTGCACACTAGTATAATAGTGATTTTATATCAATTATAAAGATATTCTATATATGTTTTGTAATTGATATAGATGTCACAAATGTATAAAAAAAAAAAAAAAGTGACTTTCTACATCAATTACATGAGAATGACCATTTCCTATTTGTTTTAGGGGAAATTGTTATAATATCTCTTGAAGTTTGTTAAAATGACATTGACTTTCCTTCTATTTTATTAGTTGACACTCACCTTTATTTTATAATTTAGCTTTTACATACCATCACTTTTTTAAAATAGTTTATTTAAATGTTATTAAAATGCATTCTCTTTTATTATTTGAACTTTTTTCTATGGTTGAAAAAGTGCATGGGGTCATTAGTATGTATTTCTACTATTGGCTTCATTCTATTGTGATATAGTACAAATATAAAAAGAATGTTATTTATTGGTGAGTTGTACAAATGACACAAGTGATTATTTATTTCCATCTAAAAATCATATTTGTGATATTGATCACCCACAATTAACTTCTAGAAACTTACATAACTCTAGATGTATTAATTAAGGATGATATTTTGTAATCTCAACAATATGTTCCCATGTTAAATGCCAGAACCACAAAAAGAACAATTATGTAACATTTATGAAACTACATTTTTTGTTTGCATAAGTAAAATAAAATATAAAAAAGACAATGTAAATAGGGAGTTGTTAATAAACAAAGAAGAAAAGTCGTGCATATTAAAGAATTATTATTTTTTTATCTAAATAAAATTTTTAGTTAATTTATAATTTAAAAAGTTTGTTTTTCAAAAATTAAAGGAGTGATTTGTATCATTTAGACATATTTTAGGGGAGGTCAATACAATTTTCCCTTTGTTTTATTATTTAATTTTTCTTTCTCTTGATTTTAGTTATGGGCTGATTGGATTGAAATATAATACGATGAAATCTAAACCTTGTTTTTATTAACACCACTATTGTAACTATCATCATTGTCATCATTGTTGTGCATTGGATTCAAACACATCTATATTGGTATGATATTATCCACTTTGAGTTTAAGTTTTCATGATTTTGTTTTTGATCATTTTCCAAAAGGTCTCATATAACAATGAAGACTATGTGTATATATAAATTCATGTTCATCCTCTTGTTCAAACGATGTGAGACTTGGATTATATATATCCCAACAATTCTTTTATCAAACAAAGGATTGTTGTTAATTTAACATCTCCTACAGTAGAAGCATGCTCTATGTGCTTGCACCAATATACTTCCTAACTCTCCATGTTATCAATAGGAAGACTTTCCATATACATGGATCCATCGTCAGGATAAAGAATTTTGATACAAGGGATCTTATGCTCAAATCTACCTGCCAATTCCATTATATTCATTTTGTTAATCACCTAGTCAAAACCATCTACTTTAATACCAGTTTGTTATGCACCAAGGGATTTATATACACATGTTTTTTTATATTGGTATGATATTGTCCACTATGAGCCTAATCTCTCATGGCTTTAGTTTTTGTTATCTCCCAAACAACCTTATAATGAAGACTATAAATGTATATAAACTCATTTTCATCCTAATGATTTAAGACTCGAATTTTATTCTCAACAATTCTTCCATTAAGCAAAGGGCCATTGTATTCCAACTTTTCAGACCATGAGTAATCCAATGACGACTTATAGAATTTTATCATGCTCTAGGTACTTGTACCAACACAATTTCTAACTCTCCATGTTAACAACGGGAAGACTTTTTATTCATTAATCCACCGGTAGGAAGAATTTCAATACAAAAGATTCTATATTTGAATCCACATGCCAATTTCATCATATTCATCTTGTTGATCACCAAGTCAAATCTATTGGTTTTGATACCAATTTATTGTACACTAAAAAATTCAAACACACGTTTTTTCATTAATATGATATTATTTATTTTAAATCTAAGTCTTTATGATTTTATTTTTTTATTATTTCTTGATCATTTATGAAAATAATTTATTTAAAAATTTTATAATAGTTTTTTTTAATACAGTCATGCATGTAGTCTAATATTGTTATGTATTATAAGGTTATTAACTTATATAATAACTAATTTAAAGATTATACGTGTAATCATTTTTAATTAATTACTCAATAATTTTTTTTTTTATGTCAACAATGCATTGAAATTAAACTCATATCAAAATTAAACTCTTGTGAAAATACACTCTTTTTAACTTATTTAAATTAACTTCATGCACAAATTTATAAATTAACTTCAAAACAATTTTAAATAACAGTTTCTTACTCAAACATGAATAAAATTTTCTCTATAAAATTTTGTAATCAATACTTAAATTAACTAATAATAAACTATTTAGATACTTTAAATTAAAAACAAATCTATCTACTTAATTTTTATTTTAAATTAAAATTTTTAAATACTTATATATTCACCAGAAAAGTACTCTTATTTTTATTTTAGTTTGTATTTTTATTATTCATAAAATAATCAATTATCAGTTGAATTGTTTTCTTAAATTTTTCTAAAATTTAAAAGTTTTCAATATTTTACCTGTAGATTCGTCATCTTGGCGCTTCAAGGCACCAGGAGCACTATATAAACCACCATCCACATCAAATCACTCCCATCTTCACACTCTTCTCAAAAGCTTGAGCAATATCAGCATTTGCGAGTGATTAGGAATATAAACATACGCTAGCCACAATAGTTGAAGATATGGCTTTCTCAA